TATTAATTAATAACCTGTTAGTTTATAATAATTAAATATTTATTGCTGTTTTGACGATTTTTAGTAAGTAATATTAATAGGTGAAAAACAAAGAAAATAAGCCTAGTTGGACGTACCAATCATAACGTAGGCCTGAGATATAGATAGCCCTTATGCTGCAGAAAATGTTAGAATTTTTTAGTTATTCGGTGTTTGTTTATGATAAATAAATTTTTATTGCTGTTCTGACAAAACGATTTTTAGTGCATAATATTAACAGGTAAAAAACGAAGAAAGTAAGCCTAATTAAACCTACGAATCATAACATGGGCCTGAGATATTGCCGTTACACTGCAGGAAATGTTTGAATTTTTCAATTATTCGGTGTTTGTTTATAACAATTAAATTTTTATTGCCTTTCTGACACATCGACTTCTGGTGAATGTTACTAAGATAGAAAAAATGAAGATAATCAGCCTAGTTTAAACTTTCAATCATAGCGTGGGGCTAAGATATAGCCTTTTTGCCACTTCAAATCATAGAATTTTTCAGTTTTTTGGTGTTTGTTTATTTTAATTTATTTTTTATTGCTGTTCTAATACACCGATTTGTAGTGGATGCTATTAACAGGTAAAAAACAAAGAAAGTAAGCCATACTGCAGAAAATGTTTGAATTTCTCAGTTTTTCGGTGTTTGTTTATAATCATTAAATTTTTATTGCCCTTCTAACACATCGATTTCTAGTGAATTTTATCATCAAGTGAAAAATGAAGAAAATAAGACTAGCTTGACCTTTTAATCATAACATCGGGCTGAAATATAGTCTTTTTGCTTCTGCAAATATTAGAAATTTTCAGTTTTTCAGTGTTTGTTTATTACAAATTATTTTGTATTGCTGTTTTGATAACACAATTTTCCGTGAATAATATTTACAGGTAATAAACAAAGAATATAACTCCAGTTGAATCTACAAATCATAACGTGGGGCTGAGATACAGCCGTCATACTGCAGGTAATTTTAGAATGTTTCAGTTTTTCTGGTATTTATTTATAATAATCAAATTTTTTGTTGCTGCTCGGACACAACGATTTACAGAGAATGTTATTGATAAATGAAAAATAAATAAAATGAGCCTGGTTTGACCTTCCAATTACAACGTGGGGTTGACATATAGCCTTTTTGCCGCTGAAAATCATAGAATTATTTGTTTTTTCGGTGTTTGCTTGATATAATTTATTTTTTATTTCTGTCTGACACAGCGATTTTTAGTGGATAATAATAACTGGTAAAAAGCAAAGAAAAGGAGCCTAGTTGGAACTACAAATCATGACGTAGGGCTATGATGTAACCTTTTTACTGCAGAAAATGTCAGAATTTCCAAATTTTTTGGTGTTTGTTCAGAATATTTAATTTTGATTGTTGTTCTGACACAATGATGTTTAGTGGATACTAAAAACTGGTAAAAAAACATAGCAAATAGACCTAGTGGAACTTTTTAATCATAACGTGGGGCCAAGATGTAGCATTTTTCTGCAGACAACTCAGAATTTCTAAATTTTTTGGCGATTGTTCATTATAATTTCATTTTTGTTGCTGTTTTGACAGTAGGGTTTTTTGTGAATGATAATAACAGGTTAGAAACAAAAAAATAAGCCTTGTTTGACAGTTTAATCGTAACGTGGGGCTGAGATAAAGCCTTTTTACTGCAGAAAAAGTCAGGATTTGAAAATTTTTTTGTGTTTGTTTATAATAAATAAATTTTTATCGTTGTTCTGACACAACGATTATTAGTATATGATAATAACAGGTAAAAAACCAAGAATTCAGACCTAGTTTGACGTTTTAATCATAACGTGGGACTGAAATATTTCCTTTTTACTGCAGAAAATGTTTTAATTTTTTAGTATATTCGTGTTCGTTTATAATAATTAAATTTTTATTGTCATTCTGACACAACGATTTTGATTGCATGTTTTTTATTAGTAGAAAACGAAGAAAATAAGCGTGGTTGTACCTACGAATCATAACGTGGGGCTGACATATAGCCACTTTGCCACAGAAATCCTAAGAATTCTTAAATTTTTTTGTGTTTGTTTATAATAATTAAATGTTTAACGCTGTTCTGACACAATTTTTTGCAGCTTATGTGATTTGTAAGTGAAAAACAAAGGAAATAAGCGTGATTGGACCTACGAATCATAATGCGAGGCTGAGATATAGCTGTTTTACTGCAGAAAATCTTAGAATTCTTTAATTTTTCCGTGTTTGTTTATAATAATCTATTTTTATCGCCCTTCTGACACAACTGTTTCCAGTGGATGATATCAGTAGGTTAAAAACAAAGAAAATGAGCCAGGTTTGAATTTCTAATCATAACGTGGAGCAGAGATCAATTTAATTTACTTAGCAATACCATATTATTTTGTTACTGGTTTTTGTTTCGTTGTCCTAAATAATTGCATAGAGCTATTTTGGTACGACGATTACTGTGTCATATCGTTTGTATGTTACTGTTGATTGAAAATCAGCCTATTTTTTTGCCTTTTTTTTTACTATAAAAAAATTTTTTTTTCAACAGGTTCTTCTTAACCTTTTAGATACGTGTATAAGTATTGCGGGTATCAAATATGGACTAGAAAAACGTGTGAAGTATAAGAATTGAGCGTATGAGACAGATGTTAGCATTACGTTAGCGATGTAGGCCAGCGTACATAATGTTCATTTTGTATGAAGCCGTAATATTTTGTTTATAAATGTTTATTCATTAAAAATTAACATAATATTTAAAACTACGGCTCAATAACGTAGGTATACTTATTCTTACAATAATTGCACCTCCACTCTTGTACATAATATTGTTTCATAGAAGATATATTGATAATTATTTTGTCTGCCATATAATTTTATAGGAGTATAACTTCATACTTGGGTATATTGATACAATTGTTAAGATTATTTAAAAACAACTTACATTTAACTATTTTAATTTTTATGAGTAGGTAAACCTGTTTTACCCCTTAATTTTGTAAAAGTTCGTTTTGAACTTAATTTTTATGTGCCTTAAAACTTTACAAACAAAAGTTTAAACAGACTTCGTTTTAAAAAAGTCTGCAATCATAAACAAGCCTCAGTTACCATTTTAAGAAAAGACAAAACAAAAATTTAAGGGAATAAGTATATTAGTAATACCTTATCAAATACTCACTTGACAGTTTCTGAAAGCTTTTGAATGAAAAATAATTTCAGAGCATAATAAGCAATCAATAATGCCAAACGTATGATAGAATTATTGTTGAAGTTCAAGCCTGTCTGACAAATTAAAAAAATTTCTGATTTGTTGTATAAACAACAATAATTGAGATTCTTGGTGATTTATAATTTTACACCGTTTACTATGATGTGAGAATTTTGAAATAACTGAAAATAATTTCGTAAGTTGCAATTAATTTTTGAGTAGAGTTAAATATCCTTAGTTAAATGAGCTGTGACTACTTAATGGTTAACATACTAGACTTCTAGGCAAACAAACTCAAGGAAACATAGGTTCGAATAGTTCGAAATGGCTTTTACTAAATTTTTCTAGTGATGTCTAGCCCTCTAAGAGCTAACATCCAGCCAGTTTATCAGGTAGTGTCTCTATTGGTATTTAAAATTGTCGGTACAGTAAGTTTAATTATTAGAAGATAAGATCCTTCCATTGAATTGGGCAATAGCTTGGGTATGCTTGAAGCATTTGCTGAACCCTGTAAAGAGTACTCAGTAGGATAGATGTAGTTGTCTGAGAGAAACTTGGCAAGGAGCTTGTATGAAAGACTTGGATACTTGCAGAAAAAGAAGGGTTAATATGGGGAAAAGGAGCAAGGATGTTAGAAGTTAGTAATATAGGATACCTACAACCTAGAAAAAAGGATGAATGAAATTTAAAAACTACAGTATACTTGTCACTTGGCAACATACCTTGACTATAAATAAATTCCGTACTTAATATTCAAAAGATTTAATAATAATAAATAACATACAGTAATCCCAAATAAGTATTATAATCTTAAATCTGGTACTTACCAATTTTTGTTATTATTTACTGTCAGTTATTATCTACTTTGTAAACTCTAACTAATTTTTATTAATAAGGATGTTCTTATTTATTTGTATTATATTGATAACAAACATGTTAAATCTGAGCTAACTAAGCATTATCTTTTTAAGTTTAAATTCAAAAGAAACTTTTGTACATTAGTCAAAATGAAATTGCAGTGTTTACTTAAGTACTGGAAGTGACACAGGGCAAGATATACCGACTTTGATTCAAGTGCTCGGAGCGACCCAAGCACGTCCCCGAACAGAAAACATCGTTTCGGCAACCATTCGGGTCGGGCCAGTGGTGGCTGTCGGAATGCCCCCTTCGGTCCGACGGTGGCAGCCGATTCGGTGTGATTGACGTGATTGTGGCTTTTAACCGCGGTCATAATACCGCGATGCGCTTTCAGTCCGCAGGTGGCAGCCGAACCAGGAGATTGCCAGCGCCTACTACGGTAGAAAGTGTGTCGCTTACAAAGTTGGATGAAGAGGATTCCCGTTCCCGCAGTGAAAATTACGGTCAGTAACATAAAAGTTACTGTCACTAACATACCAATCTATAGAGTGTTAGAGAAGCGAATAGGCAGAGAAGGAGGGGGCATTCCAGAGGTTCTCACCGGTGCTCCCAAATGTGACTGGCAAACATGTGAGAAATAACACGAGCGCCAATCCCCAAACAACCCGGAGCGCTTACTGGTCCCTTTATTTAATTAAAATAAATTAAATAACACAAGCGCCAATCCCCACACAACCCGAAGCACTTACTGGCCACTTCGTTTATTAATTAAATAAATAAAATACCACAAGCGTCAATCCCCACACAATCCGGTACGCTTACGCACTCTGGGTTGTTTGGGGATTGGCGCTTGTGTTATTTTATTTATTTTAAATAAATAAAGGGACCAGTAAGCGCATGGAGTTGTGTGGGGATTGGCGCTTGTGTTATTTTGTTTATTTTAAATAAATAAAGGGANTAAGCACTCTGGGTTGTTTGGGGATCGGTGCTTGTGTTATTTTATTTATTTTAAATAAATAAAGGAACCAGTAAGCAAACCGAATTGTGTGGGGATGGGCGATTGAGGTATTTTGTTTATTTAATTATTAAACGAAGTAGCCAGTAAGCACTCCGGGTTGTGTGGGGATTGGCGCTTGTGTTATTTTATTTATTTTAAATAAATGAAGGGACCAGTAAGCGCTCTAGGTTGTGTGGGGATTGGCGCTTGTGTTATTTTATTTATTTTAAATAAATAAAGGGACTAGTAAGCGCCCCGGCTTATGCAGTGATTGTCGCTTGCCTTATTACTTTATTTATTGTAAAATAAGTATGCGACCAGTAAGCGCGCCACGTTGTGTGGGGATTGGCGCTTGTGGTATTTTATTTACTTAATTAATGAACGAAGCGGCCAGTAAGCGCTCTGGGTTGTGTGGGGATTGGCGCTTGTGTTATTTAATTCATTTTAATTAAATGAAGGGACCAGTAAGCGCTCCGGGTTGTGTGGGAACTGGCGCTTGTGTTATTTTATTTATTTTAAATAAATAAAGGGACTAGTAAGCACCCCGGCTTATGCAGTGATTGTCGCTTGCCTTATTACTTTATTTATTGTAAAATAAGTATGCGACCAGTAAGCGCGCCACGTTGTGTGGGGATTGGCGCTTGTGGTATTTTATTTACTTAATTAATGAACGAAGCGGCCAGTAAGCGCTCTGGGTTGTGTGGGGATTGGCGCTTGTGTTATTTAATTTATTTTAATTGAATAAAGGGACCAGTAAGCACTCTGGGTTGTGTGGGGATTGGCGCTTGTGTTATTATAAATTATTTATTGAACAGAGTGGCCAGTAAGCGCCTCGGGTCATCAGGTGATAGGCGCTTGTGTTATTTTAAAAATTATATATTGAACAGAGTGGCCAGTAAGTGCCCCGGGTCATTGGGTGATAGGCGCTTGTGTTATTAAAAAGATGGATGCTCGTGTTATTGGACCTCATTTAAATCTCGCGCGTCGCCTTTGGTATTTTTTTTTTTTTTTTTGATCTACTGATTTCCCACGTCAGATAGGTTGGGTCCTAGAGAATTCTCAAGTCTGGCCGGAACTATATCCCAACACTGATTAAAACTGCTTACTTAAGCGAGATATCGAATGCCCCGATCAGACCCTGCCATTCCCGGCATCAACATTATAGACCAAGAGCTGAGATAGCTTAGATCCGAGGGTGGTCAAAATCGTAACCAACCGCTACTCTCACCAGAATTGAGAAACTTTATGATTTGTGGAGATTTGAAATATTTTGGTTATATATTATTTTGGTGAAGAGTTTTGTGTTGGTATATAAGAAGTGTCATACGATGTATTTTATAAGCCAGTTGTGTGCCAGTGAATGAGTGAATGCGTTTTCTACCCGAAAATCGACCTTAAAATAAATAGGCTACCTGCAAAAAAGCAAAACCAAGCCACTACTTTACCAGTTGATTTTTTGTACAATAACATATTTCAGAAATCAAAGTCCTGTTAAGTTTTGGATTTAATAAAAGTAAGTAAATGACCTTTCCATACCGATTATTTGACGCTGATCTTATCCATAGTACTTATCCAAGATAATACACGAGGCATTGTAGATAAGATTATAGATAAGATTACAATAACTACAATTTTGGAGGTCGATTTTTAGATACGAGATGCATTCTAATTTAGTCGAAAATGGCACCTTCGGTAGGTAACTTTGTATTTGTATTCACTGATTTCAGTTGTGGCTGGTTTATAAAAAAGACCATATGGCCCTTTGTAAATACCACCAAAAGTCTCTACGAGAATCAAATTTGACCAAAATATTCTAGATCTCTACGAATTAAAAGTTTCTTAGTTCTGATGAGAGTGGCGGCTGGTCTAGATTTTAAACTTCCTTAGGCCTTAGGCCTCAGCTCTTGTTCTATTATTTGTTATAGAAAAAACCACACTTAGAGACTAAGATCACTCTATAGAGATATAAGAATAAAGCGCGCCAAAATCACGTGACCCTGTACTAAGCTGTGTCCCATGGTGCGAGAGAGACAGCTGCATAAGTACCATAGGGAACCTGCGGTAACTATGCAGCTTTCTCTCTCGCACCAATAAAAACATCAGCGGACAGGGTCCCGAGTAGAAATGTGAAAGTGGGCAGCCCACGGGCGTCGTGCGTATGCGGTGCGTGCCCAGGTAGTTGGAGAGGGCTGTAAAGAGAGTTGACTCAAATTGAGCGCCCTGATCCGTAGTGATGGTGAGGGGGGTGCCGTAGTGGGCGACCCAGCCCTCCAAGAAGGCCTTGGCTACTGTCGAGGCTTGCTGATCCGGAACGGGGATGGCTGTCGGCCACCTTGTGAAGCGGTCGATGATGGTAAGGCAGTACTGTGCGCCTTGTGCCATGGGCAGCTTCACGAGGTCAAGGTGTACGGGGTCGAAGTGGGCCGACGGGGCATCGAAGGTGCCGAGGGCTGCTCTGTTGTGCGGGTGCACCTTAGCCTTCTGGCATGAGATACATTGCTGAGCCCACCGGGCCACGTCCTTTCGCATTGAAGGCCAGTAGCATTTCTGTGCTACTACTTTGCTGGTAGTCTTGATGCTGGGGTGCGACAGGTTGTAGACGACTTCGAACGCCATGCGGCGGAGAGAGGATGGAATGTAAGGCCTGACGTAGCCTAATGAGACGTCTGCGTGTATGCTGTGTCCTTCTAAAAGCCTTCTATGTCCAGGGCTTGTAGGGTGGGACACGAGTTCGCTGACAGGTGCTGGAGCTCTTCGTCGGTACTCTGGGCCTCTGCGATAGAAGCTGGATCGAGGAGACTGGGCATGCAGATGGCCTCTGTTCTGGTGAGTGCGTCCGCGACGATGTTCTCCTCGCCTTTCATGTAGAAGAGTCTTGTGTTGTGCTGCAAGATGTAGTCAAGGTGGCGTGCTTGCCTTGGCGAGGCCTTGTCGGATGGCTGCTGGTGCGCCAGGGTTAACGGCCGATGGTCCGTGTAGGTGGTGAAAACCCTGCCTTCGAGAAAGTTCCGGAAGTGTTTCATGGCCGCGTAGATGGCCAACAGCTCCCGGTCGTATGTTGAGTATTTCTGCTCCGCCGAAGATAGTTTTCTCGAGAAAAATCCGAGTGGTATCCAGGTGTCTTTTGGGTGCTCTTGCTCAAGCGCCGCTCTGATCGCTGTGCCGGATGCGTCGGTTCTGAGGGTTAATGCGGCGTTGGAACGGAGGAAAGCCGTGGTGGCTGCATTGGCGAGAGCGGACTTAGCGCTCGTGAAGGCGGCTTCGGCTTCCGGTGTCCACTGAAGGACAAGTTTTTTTTGCTGCTCTGGGAGGTCCTTGAGCAGATCGTTCAGTGGGGCAAGGATGTCTGCGGCACCGGGGATGCACCTCCGGTAGTAGTTAAACATCCTTAGAAAGCGGCGGAGTTGCGGCGGATGGTCGGGCCTCGGGAAGTCCTGGACTGTTTGGACCTTGGCAAGAGGAGGGGTGAAACCTTGCCCCGTGACGGAGTAGCCCAGGAAGGTCACCTTGTCTGTCCCAAAGCTGCACTTTTCGGGGTTGATGCGCAGTTTGGCCTTGCGCAGGGCGGTGAACAGGATCCTCAGGTGTTGGAGGCTGGAGGTGCGTCTCATGGTTCGGGGAGAAGATCAGGAAGTCGTCCAAGTAAGCCCTTACGAAGGGCAGATCCCGTAGCAGGTGATCTACAGTGCGCTGCAAAGACTGGGCGGCGTTGCGCTGGCCCAGCGACGACCTGGTAAATACGAACAGGCAAAAGGGCGTCGTGATAGCTGTCTTCGGGATGTCATCCTCTGCGATCAGGATCTGGTAGAATGCCTTCCAGAGGTCGACCACCGAGAAGACTTGGCCGGAGGCTTGCTGGAGAAGGTCTTCCACGATTGGAAGGGGATAGCGGTCCGGCGAGGTGATGGCGTTCAGCTTGCGGTAGTCACCGGTGATGAGCCAGCCTCCTTTAGGCTTCGCCACGACGTGTAGTGGACTGGCCCATTGGCTGGCAGAGGTCCTCACTGACCTCACTACGCCTTGGTCGAGGAGTGCGCGGAGCTCTCGTTTGGCTGCCTCACGGCGGGGGCCGACTAGCCACCTAGGTCACTTGTGGACCGGTGGGCCTGTTGTGATGATGCAGTGTCTCACCAGCAGGTCTGACAGGAGAACGGCGGTGCTTTCGCACGCTGTGATGTCCTTAAACTCGTGCAGGAGGGCAGCGTAATCCTTGCTGTAAGGGCCAGGAGCAGCTGCGTTGAGCACGGCTTGAACGCTGTGGAGATCGGACTTGCGCAGGTGGCATGGT